TTTATTCTTCTAAAACTACAGTTTAATAATCAATTCAACTTCGTGAGCTCCGGTACAAATATTTCCCAAATCTAAGAGACGTGACTCTATCAAACCTTTAGCTTATATGCATGTACATCAAAACAAATAAATTCAAATGTTATGTTTTGAACCATTACGTTCTGTCTTGTATTTTTGCTATTTGCTATTTTACATCAAATATAAATTGCATTTAACCGCCACATTTGATGGTGACCTCCAGCGTCTTTGCTTGTCCTTTTTCCTGTCATTCCTAATCAAAGTTAAATAAATGTTGTGGGGTCCGCTACATCTGATTGACAATACTTCACATTTTTATTACTCACCCGTCATTTGTCGCAGATCTCGTGACAGTGTAATGTCTCGCTAAAACTGAATAGTGAGTTCGATCTTCAGTGAGTGCCCCACACTCTCTGACTTGTGCTGCATCTAAGCTACACTCAGAAAATTACCATATGGAATGGCTTTTGTTTATCAGCTTTATTCTTAAAAATGAAGTGCAACTTATAATGAATATATATTTAAATTTAAAATTACTTTCATACACTTATATAAAAACGAGGTTTTTCCATGATTGTTGTCACTGATCATGCAGATGTCCGATAATCTTTCTGTAGAATTCCGAAGAGTTTGATATGAAATAGTATTTTACGAAATTTTGAGTCTGGATTGTTACGGTTTTTTTGGTATATAACGCCTATAACTAGTGAGCGAGTCAGAATGACTTATTTCCCTTTATAGTCGACCAATGGAAGGTTGACCAATCAGAAGCCGCTCAACACTGTATTCGTCGTGTATAAAGGCGGCCATCTTGTTTCCTCTACCGGAAGGACCAAAGGCGACCAGGAGAAGGATGAACTACACTCTGCTGTGATATCCACTGCGAACCTAAAATACGCTTTCCTACTGTCTCCGAAATATTCACTGCCAACCTCTGGATTCTATACTCGAGGACGACCGTCATGAAAATGTCTAACATGGATTTCATTACATAAAGTTTTCTACATCTAAGCGATTCTTTATTGATCGTGAAACAATATAAGCGATTGGTACAAAATCAAGTAAATATGGTGCCTGCTGTAGAACAAATCAACCGAGTTGAATTCTTTGTTTCCACTGTTAGTCTTTCTGCTTTCGGCCTTGTGTTGTCAGGGTAGAGACCAGTATATTTCCTTTAAACCACTGTCTACGCTGTCACTGCTGTTCAAACTGTTTCTGAAAAATACAAAAAGAGGAAATAGTTTTATCCAAGCGCTGAATAGAATATAAACATCTGACTCACACATATCTACTAAGGAAAAATAAACTCTTCCCTCATGTAACAAATGTCAAGTACTTGTCACAAACGAACATATACTCATCTTTTGCCATCTTTTCAGTCAAACCCCAAAACAAATTATTATGAAGCAAAATATGCAAAATAACTATTTTCAAACATTCAACCAAAAATAATCTTAACATCTTAAATGAAAATGAACTTTATAACAATTTATAAAACGATAAAATCTTCCATGAAATCTAGATAAAAAATAATTAATATATTTTGGGAATGGAAAAAAAGAAAAGAAAAATTACAACTTCAGTCTTCATAAAGATTTACACTGAAAATAACGATGCAAATTCTAGAAAACAATTAGTATAAAAAAGTGAATACAATATAAATTGCATTAGAAACGAGCATATATAATAACTGATTAAAAAGAAAAAAATAATCTGTATCCAAAGCTATCACTAGTCTAAGTATAACATTATGATAATCACAATGTGTCTAATATTATCACTTATTCACATATAACACTGTTATTGCCAGTGTACTGAAAAATATCACTTACATACACATAGCATTATGTCATTTCAGATATAACGAAAATTATCACCTATCTGCGTATAACAATGTTATTCTCAAGGTAAACAAATTTTTAACTTTTCCACGTATAATATCATGTTATCTCCAATACACGCGAAAGTATCACTTTATTTTCACATATAATGTTATATTATTCCCAATGTACCCAAAATTATCACACCTTCTCATATAGCATTATGTTATACCCAGTCCCCGCAAAACAATCACGTATTCCAATATGTTAACCCCAATGTGTCCAAAATTATCTCTTATCCACATATGTTATTCGCAAGGTACTTAAAAATGTCACTAATTCACATATAACATTGTTATTGCAATGTACCCAAAATGACACTATTTACATTGTTCGGACTATTGTCGTCATCTTTGTTGCCATATTTATAACACTTTTTCGACCGTTACACGCTCCGGCCTTCTTCAGTTCGTTGGAATGTCGAACTGAACCCTTTATTTCGCTCGCTGGGGTAGACTGTTCAAGTTCAACGTACTGTGTGTAATGGATGTCAGCAATCAGTTATTTTCTAGTAATTCCGCTGCCTTAACCAGGTATCGAACTCACAACTATTTGGGTCCTGTCACTGAATCTAACCGACGCATTTATCCACTGTGTCATGTGTCTTAAGGACACATGGTACAGGACCCAAAGATTTGTAAGTTCAATACCCGGTTAAGGCAGTGGTGAACTTGAAGAGGTGAATAATGTAAATAGTGTACATAATACCCCATCTGATAAATATAGACATGTACCCAAAATGATCACATGTCTACATATAACATTTTACTTCTAATCTACACAAAATTATCATTTATCAACATATAACTTTATGTTAAACACAATGTACCTAAAATTTATCATCTATCCACATATAACATTGTTATTTCCAAAACTGTCACCTATCAATATATAGCATTATGTTATTTTCAATTTACCCCAAATTATCACTTGTCCACATATAAAATTATGTTATTCTAAATATACCCGACAGCATCAGGTATCCGTATATAACATTATGTTATTCCCAATGTACCCAAACTATGAGGTCTCCATATATAACAATATGTTATTCCCAAAACAACCACGAATTCAGAATTTTTATCTCTCCTTAAATAAGTCTTCTGTTGGTTGACCGGGTATGTTTTGTATTTTTTTCCGGGAGCGGTCAACGCAGTCTTACACATTCTTTTTTGTGATTAAGTCCACGTATTTTCTTAATGTTTCATTTTACTTTAGCTTCATTCAATGTTTTAGTGGAAAGGCGGTCTCGATTGTCTTAGCGTAATTTTTTTTTATATTTTTCTTACACATATCTTCCCATGTTGAATTGAGTGATCTGTTAGATTTTCACAGAGACATAGAGTCATTTCATTTCCATTTTCCATTACAGCATCTGGTTCGTGTTATATTATTCGTATCCTACTTGCTTTTGTTCTTCTTCTTATCATTATTCATCTCCTCACTAACAGCTTGCATCAGGTCTCCTACTTGTAATAATATTTCAAGCCCAGTAGCATTTTTCATTTATTTCATGATAGGCTATTTAATCGCTAGATAACTGTCTGGCATTCAGCAGCATAACTCTCCTCCGTAAATCCTATGCCTCTTCAAAATCTTTCTTCTTTAGAAATAACAGTCGTTAATGATGCGTCTGCTGTAATCTTGCAGCATAATTATCAGTTCGAGATCCTCTAACCATTTTCGTTTACAATTCCGTCCCGAATACTGACTTTGTTGTTGTTATATTTTTCATTTCAGTAAGCAAGCGCTTTTCTCTCAATATGGCCGATTTTCCGTTCAAGATGGCGTTCGATTTCCAGAAATAATTGCAAAAGAGTTTGCCATATTGTCTCTAACAATATTCAATTACATCGTCTACGCAAGAGATATATTAATTTTCTATTGCAATAAAAATATCAGTTATGTGATTTTGGGAACATTTGCTTTGAATGCTTAATAACAGACGCGGTTAATACATGACAAACATTTATTTTTCGTTTAATATGCAAAGTAGTTATCGACATCGACAAAGAATCCCATATATGACAAAATAAAAATGGGAGAACGATAGTCATAAATATATCGAAAAAGAATATGATAAGAAGGCAACTACTGATTACTCATAAAGTGTTAAATATTACCATAAAAATATACGAAGGAGTAAAAGAAAATAATGTCGCTAATTAATGTAATTAATAGTAAATACATGCAGCATAATGGTTATATATATTTTAGATTAAGCTTTCAGGTATGAAATACAATATTTGCACACATCATAATTAAATCCATATTGTTTCTGCGCAGGTAAATGTCTGAACAACTGAAGACGAGCCTTTTTTTCACGCATGTCACTGTTGTTGCCAAACGGTGTAAACGGTTAGTTTCATTCAGTATCTAAACTAACTATATGCAAATGTCCTATTTCGGGTCCGTAAAATAAATTGCTGCCAATGGGGATCGCTGTAATATTTTGGGCATAAAGAAATGTAATGTACGCGTCTGACACATGTGCATATCCATACTAAAAAATGAATATATATATATATTGCACGCTCCAAAAACAATAACTCATTTCCAATAGCATTGTCGGATACAACAATACATATATTTTCGTTGTCCTCTTATTACTAAGAGAAAAAACAAGAACAACATCTATTCCATACCTGAAGATGTCTGTAGGAACAGACGAAAGCTTGTAGTAAAAATAAGAACTAATACGGCAGAAATTTATAGAAACAAGGATCTTTTCATTCAAAACGGATTCGGAGGTTTTTGTATATTATTTGAATTGTTTGCGACGATGGATTTCTCGCCAATTAAATCATTAACCTTTGAATTTGTTTTTGTGTGAATAATTCATGAATATATATATATATATATGTATGTATCTATATATATATGGACAAACATAAGGAATGACTTACTGAAATGTCATCGGACCAGCCCACCAACACAATATAATTCTTCCTAATGTGTTAACGAGTAAATATGTTGACAGTTTTGCACACAGGACCAAACAAGCCCCTAAACATGCACACACGCACACATATATATATATATAGTTGGATTGATATGAGGCTGTGACCATGGGTTTCACGCCCTTGCAATCGTCAGACAAACCCGCTTTCCTTGATAGATAGATAGATAGATAGATAGATAGATAGATAGATAGATAGATAGATAGATAGAGCAATATACAGGAAGGGCCATTTTAAAAACAGTGGTTACTTCTTCTCTTAACGCATCGCTCTTCAATTATTGTTGTGTATGATACACCTAATTTACATAAGTGGAGTACCGACCATATAAATATGGGTTGGTACCGGAAGACGAGGGAAGATTAAGAGATTGAATCCAGAGACTCTGCCCGACTGCGACTTAGTCAACCCATTCTGCAGGAACAGTCTTCCCAAGAATATACCAAAACTACCTGTAAATATTGTGTACCTTTTTTCATTGTTTCAATACATTTTGTTACGTACATTTTGTGTTGTATTATTATTATTCCATGCTTATTCAAGCTTCAACAATTATGAATTGAGATACCTTGAGTACTGGCATATGTATACATCTCATATATAATACGTTAAGAATTGTTCTTTCTCTTCCGTACGCCGATAGCTTAGGGGTAGAATCTTTGACTGATGCCAAATCTGTCGATTTTGGATCCCGGCTTGAAACAATCGGATGTCCAACCACACTCATGAACTGTGATACAACGAAACATGCTTGTATGTGGATGACTATATATATATGACTATATATATATGACTATATATATATATATATATATATATATATATATATATATATATAATTTCAATTATAAGTGCAATTTTAATTTATAATTACATGAATCATTCATACAAAAAACAAATATAAAGGTTAATGATTTAAATCATTTACTTCTATATTTGTTTTTTATGAATGATTCATGTAATATATATATATATATATATATATATATATATATATATATATATATATTTGTTTATTATTTCCTTGTGCATATATTAATAGAATCTGTGTAATTCAATACAGAAATACTGAACAATTACATAAGGACCTGACTAAATGCAGGCAAGATAAAGAAGACTTACACAACAAAAACAAAATATGCAAAATTAGAGAAGTTTAGTACCATCAATAAAGGAGATATACACAAACAAATAAAGCCACTAACAGCAGAAGATATATTCGTCAACAGGCTGTTTAAAATCAAAGGATCGAACGCACATATTACAGAAGGAAAAATTCGTCAACGCTGGAGCGAGTATATTGGCGAACTATTCCACGGCATAAGAGAACAACCTGAAATAAACAGAACTACCAACGGTAGAATTTGCATTATCCAAATTGTACAGAAACCAGGAGGCAGAGCCAGACGGTATTGCAACGGAAATGCTGACAGTCTTAGATGAATTGGCATAGACAAGAACGCATAAATATTAAATGAAATCTACAACTGTGGGAATATCCCAGTTGGAAATGCCTAAAAAACCAGAGGCAAAAGTATTTGAACTCCACCGAACAATCATCCATATTTTGATGAATAGAACGCGCATCAGAATCATATCAGCGATAGGACAAGAACAGTGCGGGTTTGTTAAAGACGCCGGAGCAATGGACGCGATATTCATGCTCGGAATTTTATCGGAAAGAGCAATACAAATGCAGAAGGACGTATACCTATGATTCATAGACTACGCAGACGTCTTCGATGAGGTTCGCAACAAGGACCATTTGGAACTGCTCAGCAAACTTCAGGAATGGTATTAGAATAATCAATAACATATATTGGCAGCAAACAGAATGCTTGTGCATAGAGAACAAGTTCAGCGAGTATACCAAAATAGAACAGGGCTAAGGCAAGTTTGCGTCTTTGCATCGGACCTATTCAGCGAGACATTTCTGAGAGAATTGGGAATCTTACCGGAGTTCAGCATTGGCGGTAACAATCTTCAGAGTATAAGATAGGCAGAGTAAAGTACTGATAGCAGACACGCAAAAGAAATTGCAAAATCTCATATAGAATTTAGCGAAGGAGAGTGAGAAGAAGGGACTTAGCATAAACAACAAGAAGACAGAATACATGGTCATCTGTAAAAGGATGAGCCCAAAATGCGATTTACAGGTCGGGAACACTATAATGAAGCAGACGCGGAATTTTAAATATCTGGGAAGCGTTCTGACAAAGGTAAGTGCGACCCTGAGAACTGTAGACGTAATGGGATGTCCAAGCACGCATTCCAAAAGCTGGGCAGAATATTGCAGAAAGAAAACTAGTATTGAGCTCTTACGTGATATCTGTTTTCCTTTACGGCAGCAAATGTTGGACGGTCTCCTCAAAGATGAAGAAGAGACTCGAGACGACGGATATGTGGTTCTACAGAATGATGCTGAGAATATCATGGGCCACGCGTGTGAGCAACGATTAGATCTTGGAAAGGATGCAAACATGGAGGACGCTTATACTTAACTTCAGGAAGAGGCAGCTGAAGTTTCCTAGACATGAGAAAGAAGGGCCTGGAGAATCTAATTCACAGATGTCGAATACAAGGATAAAGAGACAAGGGAAAGCAACACATAACATACCTGCTGGGCTTAAGCTAGTGGATGGCTTAAGGTGGTCTGCGGGAAGTGGTAGAGGGATGAAACTTATTGAGAGTTTCAAGTGATAGGGGGAGGAAGTGGAGAATCATGATCGCCTACTTCCTGAATGGATACGGCACATAAAAAAAGAAGTAATTTAATTATTTTATAAGTACTTTGTCAGAAGCCCCGAAATAATATATTTTTTATTCACCGATTGAAATTCTGTTTCACTCTGAGATATTTTCAAAATTAGCTTCGTTTTTTTTTTCAATGTCACGAACTATATAATTCTTTTCATGCATTTTTTTAAACAAGTACAAAAAATACTCATCGACATACTCAAGTGCGACCAAAATAAACAAACGGCCATTTTGTAAATCGAACAGCCTGAAACAAAATGTCAATGGGAAAATAAACATGATATATATATATATATATATATATATATATATATATATGTGTGTGTGTGTGTGTGTGTGTGTGTGTGTGTGTGTGTGTGTATTTAAATAAAAAGAAAGAACAGTAAGATATGTAATCCGGTGTTCTTACTGATATTTTTCTTTTTAAAAAATAGTGCGCAATGTAAATTTACAGTGCATTAATATTATAAATTAACTGATTTCAAATATGTTTTTTTCGCTACACAGTAAAAATCATATTTCAAAAATGGAAGCTAAAATCTTTAAATTTAATTTTGTAATTAAATTAAAAACATTAGTTCCATTTCATCCTCAATTTTAAATTTATAGTCTTTAGCTTACATTTTTGAAACATGGTTATTACTGTGTAGCAAAAATACAATTTTAAATCAGCTAATTTATAATATATATTTATATATATATATATCTGTGTGTGTGTGTGCGTGTGTGTAACTGCAACGGAAACAAAAGTGGGGAAGATGAAAAATATTTCTAAATCTTATAAGCCACGCTGTTTGCCGACGTCCGTGTTTGTGCGTGTGTCTATCTGTGTGCCTGTATGTTGGTTTGTATATATATATGTGTTTGTGTGTGTGTGATGATAATGGTTTGATTTCGAGTTGTCTTCGCTAAAATTTCAAATTTGCTGTAGCCCGTCTCTCGTTAGATTGGCTGTCCCTCATGTCTAGAGAGTCCTGTCTTCTCTGCTATTAATCGACTTGATTTCCAACAACAACCGCGAAATTGGATAATACAAAAATAGAACGAAAAAATAGTGATATAATCAAGTTGTTGAGTTTACACACCATCTTAAATAAGAGGTTAGCAAGATAAATCTTGTCAGTACTAGACATATTGAGAGCAGTCTGTAACTTTGTGAGAAAAAATTCCTGAAAAATAAATTAAGAAATTTAATTTATATATTTCAGCTAATATCTGCGTAAATGTTCATTCAGTGAAGATCAGATGTTTTCTGCATGAAAACGGCTATTCTTCGCATTCCCATTATGACTTATTAAACGTTTTTGTATATATACAAATTGATATAAAATTAGGAATATTATTCAAATTATTATAGCACATAAAATGACGAACAGAATTAAATCAATTTCTCAATCAAACGTTAAATGACAAGATATAGCGGATTTGAATTTGATATATATATATATGTCAAGATAGGTGATAACCCGACGATACCTCATAATAATTTTAGTAGGTTTCAATTTAATTCGTCGTAATCTTCTGTATCCCTTCAAGATGTAGGCGATTATTGCTCTCCATATTTTCCTTTCTTTTGTAGAGATAAATAAATATATTTTTGTTATTTCTCTTAAATCTTGTTCCGCCATCCATTTAGACAAACTCTCTAAGTATGCTATGCGTTGTTTTAATCTGTCCTTCTTACCTAACGTCTGTCCTGTGAGTATCAAATTTTCCAAACCCTCCTTTCTCCATATGTTCTCTAGAAATTTCATCTATCTCTTCCGGATAATTAATATAAGTTTATAAATTTCTTTTTTTGTTTCCATTTTCTCTAAAACTTCGTCGTTGTTCACATGTATGGTCCATAGCATTCTCAGCATCCACATACTGTGAACGAAACAAGATTGATGACATTTCTCCCAGTCGTAGAAACATATTCGTTCCAATTAACCCTTTTTTAACCATCATTACACGTTAAGTTTTCAATGATTTTCCATATTTCTTCAGCTTATCGTTATCGCCCAGTTTATACGTATTTTTCTAGAGTCACAACGTATTGAATGCTGAAGCAAGTAAAAATTAGAAACCTCGACAATGTGAAGAAAACAGATTTCCGGACACAAAGTATTGGAGACAAAATGAACGTAATATTATTGACTGGCTTCTAAACACCTGTTTTCTCAAAGATGGCGGTCAGACAATATCAGAATTAAATATATATTCTATTTCACCTTGCGGAAAAAGAACATTAACGTTATACTGAGAGCACAAGATAAAAGATAATTTATTTCAAACTAAATATTATCAGATTTTTATTTAAATGTCTAACGTTACTTATTAAGTAGTAATAGATGCCCGCTCCTATGCGTATATGCCAGTCTGTTAGAGCGGCTAGACAATCTCTATGTCAGACGCAAATTTATGTTTGTTAACACCCATATTGTTCACCTGCGGTGTCTACTGCAACTGCGAGGAATGGACCTTGATTAAAGT